CGAGAAGGTTCGGTACTTATCACACAACACCTTTGAAAACTTGGATTAACAACGAGAAAAAGATTATTGCTGTGAACCAACAACTAATTTTTCTGTTACGATGTAGAAGGCAAGATGTTCTTCCTTCTCATATTATTAATCTTAAAACGAACATACTATTTAAAAGCAGTAGTACAAAACGCGAAATGAAGAAGATTACTAATAAATATCGTTATAAATTACTAAAATTGGAAATAAAAGACGCTAATTTCAACTTAAAATACTTACGCCGCAACACTAAAGTGATAGTTAAGAAACTCTTTACATGTCTGCCACATGATCTTGTTCAAGAGTTTTTTAAATTAAATGAAAGGAGACTTTTCAAATTTAAACTCTCTAATAAAAATAAGTCTATTAGTAAATTTGACAAATTGTGCACTAAACAAAACGCATTTTCGGACTTGTTCAAAAACATTGACAAATCTAAGTGGTTAGTGAACATTAGTGGTAAAACTATTCCGGATAAAGTATCTGATTTTTTAAGCTTGGGTGACAAATTTGGTTAGCCGATAGATCACGCAAATAGTAAAGATCGAATTAATATCGTCCTGGATAACATAAAGAACCTAGAGATTAATCACAAGAACATTCCGAGTGATTTACTAGAAACCACCAGAATATCAGTAGCTGATTCTCTCAAAAAGTTTTTATGTGAAAATAAACACATTTCTTCTTCTGACAGACACATCTTACAAGGTTTTTCGCTCTGTAAAAAATTTCTACATGATAATGAAGATATTTTTGTCACCAAAGCTGATAAGGGTCAGATCACCGTAGTAATGAGTAAAAATGATTATTTGGAAAAAATGGAATCGTTATTGAATGATGAATCTACTTACAAAAAACTAAAGAAAAATCCTATCAAAAAACTAACTATAAAGACTAACGCCTTAATAAAATCTTGGCGAGATAACGGTTTGATTGACGACTCCACGTATAAGTCATTAAATATCACTAATGGTAATTTACCACGTTGTTATGGTCTGCTAAAGGTTCACAAAAAAAATTTTCTTTACGCATCATTGTATCTTCATTAGGTAGTCTAGTATATAATGTTGCTAAATATATTCATAATATTTTACATAGTTCTAATTTGTTCCGAAATCTTACGTTAAGGATAGCTGGACGTTTTCCGCAAATTTAAAAGATAAAATTATTGACGACAATAATACTTTGATTTCTTTAGATGTGACCGCTCTATACATTAATATTCCAAAAGAATTGGCTTTACGCGCTATTGAGAAACGATGGAGTGACATTTCTCAAAATACGGATTTCAGTCTTGCTCAGTTCTTATATGCCGTCGAATTTATTCTAGATTCTAGTTTTAGCTTTAATGAACAATATTACGAACAAATCTTTGATAGTCCCATGGGATCTCCTCTCTCACCCATCTTGGCAGACATGGTGATGAATGATCTCGAAACACATTGTTTAAGTCAACTTAGTTTTAATGTTCCGACTTATTATAGATATATTGACGATATTTTCGCTATTATTCTAAAGACCAAAATCCACGAAATAATTAATATCTTTAATAATTATCACCACCGTTTAACCTTTACATATGAGACGGAATCAGACGGATGTATTAATTTTTGAATACAACGATCTCTCGGTCAAATAGAAAGCTTGTAACAAATTGGTACAGGAAGAACACGTGTTCGAACAGATATATGAATTTCTTTTCCAATCACCTTTTTAAATATAAAATGAACACAATTTTTAATCTTATAGATCACGCGATTCTCTTATCTAATGACCAGTTTCACGACGAGAATATTAATATTGTGAAACAGATTTTATTTAATAACTGTTTTCCTAAACATGTAATTGATCGTTGGGTTAATAAAAGAATTAATTTTTTAAAACACAGAAAGATGAATGAATCGAGTAATGAGCGAAATATTGTTGATAAATCTCCTTTCATTTCACTATCTTATGTTAATAGCTTAGACAATATCGATCGAATTTTTAAAAATATCGGATTTAATATGTTGTTCATAATATTCCTAAAAAGGCAAGGATAGACTGCCTACAGATAAAAAGACTGAAGTAGTTTACGAAATTAATTGTAATGATTGCAACATGTCATACATCGGACAAACAAAGAGACATCTATGTACACGTGTAAAGCAACATTTCAGCAACATCAAAATGCATTCGAGTAATTTATCAGTTATCAGCAAACATAAAATTGAATTTGATCACGATTTTGACTGGACTTCGCCGGTTATTTTACACAGTGAAAAACACGTAAGAAAAAGAGAAATCGCTGAAATGTTTTTTATTAAGAAAATGATAACGCTATTAACTTACAAAAGGATACCGACAATTTAAGTAATATCTACGACAAAATAATAAAGGTCGTTTAGTCTCTCATAACTCGTCTAAGAATCTTGACGTGTTGTCAAACCGACACTATATTCGTTCTTGACATCTTAAAATTATAATTTTATTTTTATTTTCACAAGTATGTTTCGCTTCTTCTTATTATTTTGTAATATTGTTAAGTAAAGTAATTTTTTTTTATTGTATTAATCTCTGTACTGTATTTCTTCTCTATGTATATCTAGATCACTTGATAAGGATTCAAAGAGTCGAAACCTTGTGATTTAATAAATAATATTTGTTAGTACGGTCGAGAAAAGAGTTTTACTTTTTTAAAATTTTTAAATAAATTTCATCTCACATTATTAATTGAAAATTGTTATTTTGAGCTTGTAAAAAGTTTGTGGAAAGCCCCTTCTTCAATTGTTTTTATAACTCGGAAATTATTAATATTTAGGTATTTTCGCAGAAAAAATATTCTCAAATTGACCAAAAAATTTGTAATTATGAAGGACATTCGGTGAGTTTGTGACATTTCGGTAAAAAACAGAGATAACCTTTGCAAAAATAAAAACAAAATAGAGAAATATGGTGAAAAAAACTATAGGTGACTCATCTATTCTTTGGCGGTAAACTAATAATTAAGTAATTATATCTAAGCATGTATTCTATGTGAATGGTTAAATTCTTAAACACACTTATAGTATTATTTGGGATAAAAAACAAATATTTTTATTCAATTTTTTTCGAGAATTTTTTTGCTATAATATTTTATCGGTGAATTTTAAAATACCTTATATATACGTATAAGGTGTCCTAAAATTTGAGGATATAAGATTAAAGTATAAAAGTACATAAAAATTAAGCATTAAAAGTATTTACTTTTTATTTCAATAATTTTTTTGAAATAAAATAATTTAAAGCTCGCGTTAATAAAGAAATACATATAATTTAAAGCTTGAGATAAAATATAACTTAAAGATAAAGAGTTAAAAACTATAATCAATTACAAACTCTATATACGAGCGTGCTTGTGATTAGTTAGTTTTAAACTCTTTTTATATCTCAAAAATTATTTCTTGAAATGAAAAATAACATACTTTTTTATTACTTTTATTATATGTATTTTAATTTTTTATGAACTTTCATGCTTTAATCTTATTTTACACGGTGCCTCGCTTCTAAGGGGTCACGGCTTCGCCCAACTAGGCGCGTGATACTATACCGTGTCTCTTATTGATTCTCGATTTTCGCATCCACACATTACATACATATACATACACACACATCCGCGCACACGCGCATATAGGGTGATCTATTATAATCTATATATGGATTTATTTCTCTGAAAACATATAAAAGAAATAAAACATACAAGGATTATTATATATATATATATATATATATATATATATATATACATATACATATATGTGTGTATATGTATGTATGCATGTGTGTGTGTGTGTGTGTGTGTGTGTGTGTGTATACCCAGCTAACCATGCATTTGCTTGCGGATTGTTAATAATCGGAAAACAATTTTCTGCCAAATACAGCTGCAAATCCAGGCCCTACTGTGTCCTCAAGTGCGCTCTGATTGCAATCAAAAGTTGAAAGCATATCCTAACATCAAGTTGGGTATAACGCCAGAGCAAATCTGTCAGATCTAACATGTGTCACGTTTAACAGTGCGTTGACAGATTGCGACGCAATTGAGAACAGATTTATCAACGACAAACTGAAAACAAATTTGCGCCAAATTCTCAGCAAATTGAAGAAAAATAATTAAGTTAAACAAAAAAGAAAAAAGCAAATAAAAAATATTTAATAATTTATAATAATTGAAAAAGTAAAAATAATGTATTATAATGAATAAATGTATATTTTGTTAATCAAATCATATTTAAAAAAAACGTATATAATCTTTTAAACTACTTTTGGCACATCTGTGTGCTTTTTGGTATCAATTTAACGTTAGATCTGCAGGATCTACTGCGTTTCTGGCATCAATCTTTTATCAACGATTTCGACAGATCTGCTTGTTATTTATTGCCACTTGTAATATAGTCTGCGAATTGATGTTGAGAAATATTTACTGAATTTATGCTTACAGTGTTTGCAATGACAAAATGTTTTTCATCTGTGGCCATTTAACAAACAAAATTTGTTGCCTACATTTGCCTCCACAGAAATGGTTAGCTGGGTATATATGTATAATTAACTCAAGAAAAAATATGATATATTGCAATATTTCGATTTATATAATCTACGTTTGTACTATATGCAAGCATATATATTTTGTATTTGATACATAAAATTACGCACATTGGGAGCATATTTGAGGCATATGCATCATATATGTCCAGTATGCCTGCATCATAGCTCAGAACTGTGTGTATCTGATAGTTTGGCATTTATATATAAAAATTTGATAAAATAAAATATTAAAATAAAAAATAAAGTGTCAAATATTAAAAATTGTAAATATATTAAATACAAAATTAAAAAATAAAAACAACTTATTATAATAAATTAATAAAAGACTATATAGCTTTGAATTCTATAACTATGGTAATAAGATGCATAAATATCTATAAATATATAATATGGTATATATTTCAATATATAATATATACCCTAATATATACCCCAAATGTAACATAATTTGATATGTTAAAATATATTTGACGCTGAGTAATGTACATGTACATAAATGTATAATTTGATAATCTACTAAACAACTGTCTACATTATATGTATATAGAAGAAATATCACTTTTGAGTAAAAGGTCATATATGTGATCAATATTACATGGGCACTTTTCTTTAAAAAGATTATTGATTAAAAATCTAATCCTGTAATATAAATAATGTGAAAAAAAATATCCGGCACGTCGTGTCGCAACATTATAGCAACTTATATAGATACATAACACGTGCAGTCTTTAAAATCAGTTAACAGATTATATTTTGATAATGTCATAATACTTTCTGTACTTCTTTTTATTCTCTTTTTTCTCTAACTATATATATTATTATTGAATAAATTTATCGAAAAATTAATTGTCGCTGTCTGCGTAATCGTCGCTATCGTTGCTATCCTCATGCCTTGACTGTTGTACACAAACATCTGACATATTCATTAACGAATTTGCATTCTTGATCATATCCACCGAATCATACACTAAAGTTTCCACATTTGGCAATAACTCCCATGAAACAATATTGTGTGACCTACGAGCAAACAAAATTGCCAAATGTTAAAAATATATACATATATACATATATATATATATATATATATATATATATATATTTATTTTTAGAAAATGATTTAGGTATTTAATCACAAAAAAATGTGTATGCTCATAAAGAATGATTTTTATTATGAAGCCATTGTAATAATTTATAAAAAACTCAAATATTAAATCAATAAAAAACTTTATATAGGGTGTCCCATTTTAATGTCCCACTCCAAATAAGTTTTTTATTTTTGATTGTAGAAAAAAAATGTTTCAGACAAAAATGTATGGTTTCGAGGAGGTCACAAGGTGGTGTTATTAGTTAACCTTGAATAGTTGCTTGAAGGTCACGTAAAAGTCACCTTGAGGTGAGAAGATCTTATCTTATAACTCGAAAAGTACTTGAGATAAAAATGTTTCATTATAGTGTTTTGTAAAGCTCTCGATGTCAGCTACAAGAATATGTAATGAAAAGTAGGTGGTTCCATTTAAGAAATTAAAGGTGACCTTCACATGACCCTCAAGCAACTATTCAAGGTCAAACTAATGGCACCATCTTATGTCCTCCTCGAAACCATACAACTTATGTTTGAAACATTTTTTTCTACAATCAAAAATAAAAATCTTATTTGGGGTGGAACATTATAATGGGACACCCTCTATATATATTCAAATATTATCTTTATAAAAAAAGTAAAATTTGCAAAAAAGAAGATATGTATACTTGTAAGTCGGACACGATGTACTATAAATTAGTTATAAACTAAATGTAATTTATGTATTGCAAAGAAAATAAGCTTATAAATTTATTAATGCATTATTTTGCTTTACTTTATTTACGTGCATGCATGGTTGCATCATGCTCTTTTTACTTACTGAGCTGTAGATGATGGTTACATTTCATCATCACACAGCCTGCAAGAAATGCCACATTGATTATAAATGTTAATTATGATTATATAAAAAAATATATACTGTTGTCGATATGAAATATATCTCAAATATCCACTTTATATTATAATAGATAAAATTGATGTTGGAAAAATAAATAATATATAATGTATTGTGTATTTATAAATTTAAAACAATATAAGATAAGTTAATATTATACATAATCGTATACGATTGTACATATACAATTATATTTTATTGAGTATAATATCCCTGTCGAATTAGCTCCTCACCTTTCAAAAATAAATAAAAATAAATTAGTATGGGGAGAGGGGGGAGGGCAGTTCGATAGGGATATGTACAATATATATCAAATGTGAAGTGTAAATCCGCGCGATTTAAAACTTAATTGTTAGTTGCAGATTTATGATAGTATTTTGTATTTTGGAATGCAAATAACACTTACATTTGTTCCTGCTGTTCATTGCCACTTTCTTCTGCGACTAATAATTCATATTCTTCTGCTGCGAAACGATCCCAATCCGAGAGCTAAAGCAAAAAGTAAAAAAAACATATTTTTGACATGTACAGCAATAAGTAGACTAACCAGAAAGTTTATCAAGTTTGTATTTAAAAATCTGAGTTAAATCTAGTAATCAAATTTTATATTTTTAGAGAGAATTCGAATAATATAATAAATGGAATAATATATGTATAATAAAATACATCATTCAAATATTCATTCTTCAATAATTTTATCTCTTATAATATATTTTTATGCAATAATTTTACAAAATAATATAAAATATCTCTCGTAAATCATTTAATTTTTAACTATTCTATTCTTATACTTTCTTACGCAAATATTGCGAGAATTGATTTTATATATAAAAAAAGTTTTATTTCCAAAAAATGACAAAACAGTAGATATATGATATATATGACTAATACAATATCTGACTGGAATTTAAGAATTTGAATTTAAGACTACTTGTTGTAAGTTATATGCTTTGTGACGTCAGAGGCGAGAAAATACACGCGAAAATTCTTGCGTGTCATTTTTGATAAAAAGATATATTTCGATTAAACATCGCACTTTAGCTTCAGATAGCTTTAGCACACTTTTAAAATATTCCGAAATTTTTTTGCCTCTGATGTCACAAAATTCGAATATGACCGGAAGACTCAGAAGTCTTAAGAAACATATCTGAATAAATATTTAGAAAAATAATAAGATATAAATAGGCACCTCATGACCATCAGTATCATGATCTCTCGTCGAAGCAAAAGGATCTCTTTGTTCGTGATCCAGATATTTTTCCAGATTAAAGAATGTATCAAAGAAGATGGACGTCATTTTACAGTTTTTCAAGTCATTCAATGATATCTTGCCTGGCGTAGTCGGGTGAATCATATCTAACATCTGAAACGTTATATTTGTGGCATTTCATTATAATACCTTACTCAATTCGTACTTTTCAATACTAATTCGAAATTTGAAAATATAACATATAAAAAGACAAGACAATTTTATAGACAGATTCATATTAATATTACCTGACAAAGGCAATCTTCAAAAGGCAATGTTTCCAGACCAATCGCTTCCATTCGACGTAACTGTTCTTCGTAAAAGTATTCTAATTCGTACATCGATAAATAACCATCGCCATCAAGATCCATGCATCTATCAACGAAAAATTATAACAAATATTAAAAAGGACTAATAATAAGGCATAATTAAATTCTATCAGGAGCCCAACGCAGTAAACGGTGCGCAAATTAATTTTATTTCTTGCAGATATTTTAAGAATATATATTGAGAGTGAATTTCTTAATATGTGCATGATTACCAAATATTTGACATAAAAAAATAATTTACGCATCGTTTTACCGCGTTTTTGCTTTTAATTCTCATTTCCTATTATGATACAATATCAAAAATTTTCTGCTTCAGTTTAAAAATCTATTATCTGTACATGTGACTAACGTGGAATAATTACCTAAACCAATATTCAATGGCAGTTGGATGATTTTTATCTTCCTCGCTAAGAAGAAACCATACAAATTCTGTGTAACTCATCTTGTCTTCTAATTGTTGCGCATTGTCACTGCTCTTTATTCTACTGCCCCTCGTCACGGCACCACTAAATATTCTTTCGATCATTCGAGTTGACAATGCTGAAAATAAATCAGATTGATGAAATTTCAATTCAAATAAAAGATATACAAGGTGTAACTAAACAAAAGTATACAAAACACATCATCTGGTGCAGGACAACAAACTAAATCAAAAAGTCCTGAGCTATTTTTTAATCTGAGCTTTAGTTTTGACGAGCGTAGTCGAGTGAATCATATCTAACATTTGAAACGTTATATTTTTGGCATTTTATTATAATACCTTACTCAATTTATACTTTTCAATATATTATTCCAAAATTCGAAATTTGGAAATATAACATATAAAAACAAGACAATTTTATATAAAAACAAAACAATTTTATTTATACATTGCTATATAGTTTGTCAATTAGCGCGTGACTACAACAGAAAACAGCGTAGGCGCCGCCTTAGTAGGCGTGGCCTAATTGGCAAACTTTAACAATTTATAGCGTTAAAAATAAAACTCAGATTAAAAAATGACTTAGGACTTTTTCTTTTAGTTTGTCGTTTTGCACCAGATGATGTGTTTCGTATACCTTTGTTTAATTACATCCTGTATACATTGCGTATTATATACAATTATATTCAATCGCGAAGACATGTCCTCTCACCATGATCATTATGCCTCGTTAAATCCATTTTATCTATGAACAGATCGTGATCGCGATCCAATTCCCAGAATTTGCAATATATCACATAAAAATGTTCATAACTGAAGTAAGCTGTAACTTGATTAATATCTTCCTCGTGCTCGAGCACAGCAATAACTGATAACAAATTGCTTCTCCTTAATTCGGCAAGTGAAATCTTGCCACTCCAACTACGATTTACGCAATAAAATATTCTAGCAATCACCTACAAATATATATAAGTATCTGTTATCAATTGATCTTATTATTATATTCATAACTTATACGAGAACGCAAAAGATTTCTGTAATAATTACGACTACATTATCCAAGTAGCAAATAAGTGACGTCAGAAGACGTCATTATGACGTCTATTTTTAGTCATTTTTGGTCTATGATGTCAAAAATTAATAATGGACGTTTATAAAATGTCATTTTTTAGACCAAATAAAGACGTTATTTTGAAGACATTTTAATGACGTCTTGAAGATGTCTTAATTTAGTTCCTTAATTTATCGCTATGCGACGCACATGTTCTTTATCTCGCATGTAAGTTTTAGTCAGAGAATTATATAAAGCTAGCAAAAAGAGACTGTTAAGAGTAAAGTATCATAAGTATATTCTTCTAATTATTCTAATATAAAGTGTACTCGGCAACAGAAGAATGATTTTTTAACAAATAAATTTACATAAATGTGCGTAAATTTATTTATTAAGGCATTCTTCTGTTGTCGAATATACTTTAAATTTTTATATTATCGAATATATATTTATATTTGTTGAATGAGATTTCTTACTGTGGGTTATAACTGATACTATATGTACGTATATTAATTGTAAAAATTTCATCAATTAAAGTCTTATATTCGTTATATATATGCCGTCAATAAGACATCAAAATGACGTCAATAAGTCGTCAGAAAATTACATCAATAAGTCGTCAGAAAATGACATCAATAAGTCGTCAGAAAATGACGTTTCATGAATGTGACATTTCGACGTCATTTTCGGATCTCATAGGACCTAACTGGGACGTCTCATTGGTCTTTTTGTAACAAAAATTGGTCATTATGATGTCATTTTGCTACTTGGGTATTGTCGGAAAATTGAATAAAATTAAAAATTTTAAATTATATTTAAATTTAAATATGTAATCTATATACAAAGAGGGACAAAAGTTCCGGAATGGCAAAATATCTCAGAAAATATTGATTTAATAAAAAAATGTTTTAAACAAAAAGAATAGAGCTTAAAAAAACTATTTGGTGATGATATCTGTTTGACCTTGAAAAGTGCTTAATGAAAAAATATTTATTATAGTGTTTTAGAAATGTCTCGACATCAGCTACAAGAATATGTAATAAAAACTAGGGGGTTTCATATAAGATTTTCATGTTGACCTTGACCGGACTTTTCAAGGTCATCTCAAGGTCAAACATTTCACCAAATAATGAGATGGAGATGAAGGGAAAGAGAGAGAGGAAGGGAAGAATATTTTTAGATAAATATGAAACATAAGTTGTGCGAATTATAATGATAGAATATTTCTTATATGCTATGATGTATACGATAATAATTATTAAGCTGATTGTAATTTGCTGATTGTAATTTTAATTCAAAAATTTTTATATAAAAAAATAGGTATAAGCTATTTGGTACGAACCGTATGTACATAACGAGAATGGAATTCTGTAGCTTCTTTTAAAAACGTTAATCCTGGATGCGTTTCTACTACATCTTGTACGAGAGGGATTAAATCTTCCGGAAGTATATAGTTTCGAAATTTTCGGGTGACAATTCTGATAAATTTACTAGCTGCATCGTGATGAGTAACTGTTAGTCTGCAACAAGTAATACCAAAATTGTACAATATTATTTTATATGCAACATTATTGGTTAATAAAAAATATTAATATATAATTATTTGTTAATACAGAAAATTTAGCTTAACATTACATTGTTAAGCCAAACATTATATTCTAGATTATTTTGTAGACGATAAAAATATGTTAAATTCAAAATCTGTTATTTGTCATTTTTATTGCTTTATCTCATTTTTTAATATAATAATATAAATAAATGATTTAGAAGTCGATAAATAGATTTTTTATATAGTATTTTTATATAGTATATAGTTTTATATAAATTTTTATATAAAACTATACTATAATAAAATTATAGTATTGATGAAATCACTATTTTACATTAAGAACATATATTTCTGCAAAGTCAAATATCACATATATAATAAAAATTGACATGATATATAATATATCATTATTAAATTTTTCTTTTTACTTTCTTTTTTACTCTATATAATAATGCAAAAAATTGGTAAATATTAATACAAAGATCTAATCTCAATAATTTTAATTTCTTGATAAATACTGTTCTGAATAAAGTCCAAAAGATTTTAGTCATTGATTAATATTTATTAAAAATACATAAACAAGATTTAAATATAGAGTAATGACAAATTCAATATTTATATATGAGTATTATTATCCATACTATACACACATTCCAGACAGCACAGATAATTTATAAAATATTTATACAATATTTATAATAATTATTTTAATATTTTATAAATATTTATCATAAATATTTTATAAATGTTTTTGGAGTTTTAGATTCAATAGATCATAAATATTTATCATAAATCTTAACGCACGTTGTAGTCGGCTCTCCGAAATATCAATATAACACAACTAAATGGACCATAGAGCCAAACACATGAAAATTAAATATTTTTTCGCGGATTTTTTAAACCTGACAGATTGTCAGAATATTAATTGGGAACTGTGTTTTATGGTTTGAGACAATCAGTTCCCTTCCCCTTATCCCCCCATCCTATATATATCGACGTGTACGTAAATTTATTTGTTAAATTATACTCTGTTGCTTAAGTATATTTAGTGTATATTATAATTTTATATTCTATTTTGAAATAAATGTCTAATAAGTTACTTATAAACATTTTTATACATTTTTAACTTTTTATAAATGGCTAATAGAGTTTGAAAAATATAAAAACATCTAATCGATCAAATTTTAGATTAGACTATATCAACTGATCGTTTTGATTAAAAAATCGTTGATTGCCTTTTTAATTTATAATTTTTTACTAAGTATTATTTATTAAGAAAATATAAATAATACTTAGTAAAAAATTATAAATTAAAAAGGCAATCAACGATTTTTTAAAAATATTTACAATAAATATTATGGTAAATATTATATATATATATACATATATATATATATATATATATATATGTATATATAATATTTACCATAATATTTATTATAAATATTTTCTGATATTTATGATAAATATTTATGATCTATTGAATCTAAGACTACAAAAACATTTATAAAATATTAAAATAATTATAAATATTCTATAAATATTTTATAAATATTCTGTCTGGGATAATTATATGGGGTATAATTGTAATGTAACATATCTTACATGTGTAATTGTGTGTGTGTGTGTGTGTGTGTGTGTGTGTGTTAGTTGCAAATTGCATCTTTTTTTTTACAAACAACTATATGTGTGTTATTTACATTAATTGATTTTTTTCATATATTGTTTTATGCATAATAGTATTGACGTAATATTGTCGAAAAATGCATTTTATGAGATTTTTTTATAGTTTATGTAAAATTAGTGTTAAATTTAAATATAAAATATTTCGTATACTATTCATTTTTTGGCCATCTTACTCTTACAATTTTTTATGTTGAAAATTACGAGGAATCGATTTACATAAAAAAATTATAAGGGTTCTAGTTAAAAAATAAATGATCTTCAAATGACCTTAAAGAGTATCCTTCAGAAAAAAGTCAATAGCGCTATCTTTTGTTCCCCCTTCAGATCAAAGAACTTTTGTTGAAACATTTTGTTGTCTGTAATTTCATCAAATAACGCCTAGAAATATAAATATTAATAATGCTTTTAAACGGTTAAAACGATCATACTCAGATGCTCAAGTTTCTATTTTTTTTATGAAAAAAAAATTTGAATAAATTTTATTTGTCGTTTGTGTTGTATTATCACATTTGAAAGAGCAGTGTTTATGGTAAATGAATGTATTATTGGTCAAAAATATTATTTTGACCAAAAAATCAGGCTATATCAACCATTATGCTAAAATCTTTTGGAGATAACTTACAAGATCGTGACAATATATTGTAGGTCAAAGATTCATTGTTGTTGAATCTATATTTGTCAATAATTATCAAAAGTCGAAAGATGTTTATAATTGAGTTGAGACAAATTTAAATTTAATTAAAAATTTTTAATAAACAATATTAGATTGCGTTTTATCATATCTTACTCTTTCCAAAATTCCAAAAATGCATTCATCTCGATATTTCCTTTCTGGTCACCATCAGCTGCCAAGAAAAGTGGCACTTTCCAGTATAAGGGTAAGTCACAAGCCTATGTAATAGAGAAACAGAATTGTAAAATGATAAAATTGATTATTTTAGAAACAGCTTTGCCGATTTCAATAATCTTGAAGTATGTTGTAGAGAAAAGGTCAAGGTGACTGTCCCTCACCAAATATTAAATGTCGCGCTCACCTTTAATTTTAAAGTTATAAGCATCAGAAGACATTCCACATTTCGGTGCTTCGGACATGAAATGGGGTCTCAAAATAATACAACTTTAGGTAGGTTTTTGATTTTTCGTAGAAAGCCAGATCCGCTGCGCTCACAGTACTCTGAATGTGAAACAAAGTATCAAAATTCCGTATAAAATTCCTTATAGTTTCGCATAATTCTGTATAAATTTTCGATTTTTCAAGTAAAATGGAGGTTTTTATACTACTCCTATGTTTTAGATACAAAGTAGAAAAATATCACATTTTTTCTAATTATTTTTTATATCAATAAACAATATTCGATATATCATTGATATGTAATTAATCATGATATTTGATATATCATTTGGAGTAACCAATGTGCATATACGCATACGCACGAAAATGTTAGACAAACTATTCTCTTTTACTAGGCTTCCAAATTAATATCCAAACATATTTCTTCATTCAATTCTAAGTTCGTGCTGATCTTATTTTGTATGTACAAACTGCTAAAAAGAATAACTTATCTAAAAAAAATAATCGCTTGATCGATAACCTGTTTTATCGATAAAACAGAACAATGTTGGGGAGATCCCGTTAGCCTACAAATCAATTGCCAACATCACTTGTCGACATCCCATTTGTCAACATCTCGTTTAATTACAAAAAGTATTGCCAACAGATCAATTGCCTACTAATGCTATTGCATACAAATGAAAAATGAAGACGGACGTACGTTCGCACACATAACAGTTTTACGCACAAATCATATTATACACAAAAATTATTGCCTACAGATCGATTGTCTACAAGTTCTATTACGCACAAATAACAAAATAAGGAACGGAAGACCCCGATAAAGTTCCGAAAAATACTCTTTTTGAAACTCAGTATTCTTACGTATTTTAATGCGCTGATTATGAATATTATAGCTCCATTAACTTACCCAGTCAACTTCGACTTTTAAAATTTTTTTTTATCGTTTGTTGGTGATTGTTGGCCCAATTGCAACGTTTGTTGATTTATATATTTTTTTTAATTAAAAAAAAAAAATTAGCATTAAATTAGCTGGAAAAATCTCATTTTTAATTAAAAAACGGTCTAAGCGATGCGTAATCGTTTGTTGATGATTGTTGGTCTAATTTTATCGTTTGTTGGTTTATTATTAGTCTTAAAAACGAAAAATTATTACATTGAAGCCGCATCTACAAAAATCGAATATTATAAGTTTGCTGATTTATTGCTTACGATTTAAGGCTTATTTCTATAAATGTAAGGCTAACAGGCTATGAATACGGGCCTCAACATCGACAGGAAATTAAAAATTTTCTTCTCTAATAGTAAGTTGAAATGATAAATTGCAAAATGTGAGATATTATTAGACAAAGAATAAACTTGTATTTATATCTTTTTGTAATCTTGAAGTTTTTAGATCTGTATTATATATCATCAATTCAATGCGCTAGTCAAAATATAAATTCAGCATGAATATAATTATAAAAAAATATTTTGACAAATTTATACATAATAATTATATACTTGTAAGGATCCTTGAAGTTTTTAGATCTGTATTATATTATCATCAATTCAATGCTAGTCATCCTTATCAAGTATATAATTATGTATAGTCAAAATATTTTTTTATAATTATATTCATGCTGAATTTATATTTTGACTAGCGCATTGAATTGATGATATATAATACAGATCTAAAAACTTCAAGGATCCTTACAAGTATATAATTATTATGTATAAATTTGTCAAAATATTTTTTTATAATTATATTCATGCTGAATTTATATTTTGACTAGCGCATTGAATTGATGATATATAATACAGATCTAAAATCTTCAAGATTACAAAAAGATATAAATACAAGTTTATTCTTTGTCTAATAATATCTCACATTTTGCAATTTATCATTTCAACTTACTATTAGAGAAGAAAATTTTCAATTTCCTGCCGATGTTAAGGCCCGTATTCATAGCCTGTTAGCCTTACATTTATAGAAATAAGCCTTAAATCGTAAGCAATAAATCTCAGCAAACTTATAATATTCGATTTTTGTAGATGCGGCCTCAATGTGATAATTTTTCGTTTTTAAGACTAATAATAAACGAACAAACGATAAAATTCGACCAACAATCATCAACAAAGAATTACGCATCGATTAGACCGTTTTTAAATTAAAAATGAAATTTTTTCGGCTAACTTAATGCTAATTTTTTTTTTAATTAAAAAAATATATATAGACCAACAACGTTGCAATTGGGTCAACAATCACCAACAAACGATTAAAAAAAAAATTTTTTTAATCGAAATTGACCGGCTAAGTTAATAGAGCTGAATATTATAGTGAAAATTGGCGACTATTTCATTTTCATGGTGTTGGCAATTGATTTGTAGACTAACGGGGCCCTCCCAAACATTCACTTATATTCCTTTATCCAATGCCAAATATGGTCTGATCTAATTTCAGGTAAAAAACAATCCATATAGCCAATAAATAGATTTATAGTTTATCTAACCTCACATTTTGTCATTAAAACAGAAAAAAAACAAGAGATTTCTCAAGGGCGTTTAAGATCCCCTTAAGGATATTCAAATTCGGTTTCAAAGATAAAAAATATCGAGAATATCCACTTTCCAATTATTGTTTTTTCGTTGAAAATCTAAAATTTATTTATGCTATGCGTAAATTCATTTTTAGACTTCGTTTCGTATCCAAAGTACTCGGCTATAATTATAATTTGGTTTGTTAATAATTTTATAATAAATTAGCGACAGCTAAAATTTTTTTAATGTTGCTCAGGACCATGACCTTAATCACATACTTTAAAATCATTGAAATCAATAATAAAATATATATAAATATCAATTAAAATATATATAAGTATTTTTTGATTTTTACCATTTAAAAATTATATTGCTGCGGAATATACAAAATAAACATATGTGTATATACAAAATAGATATATAAGATTATTTCTATTATCACTATATATATTATTTTTATAAATGATGGGAATTTTACAAGTTAATTAACAAAAATATATGTACAATAAATCACATATACACAAGATGAACCATTTTTATAATATTAAAAACAAATTCTCGTAAAATATGGATCTTATAAAAAATGTTTTAGTTGCAAATTGCATGGCATCAAGGGGAACATATTACTATATGCCATTATTTGCATATATTACTGATTGAGATATACGCGTGATCCGGCACTGGCGACGTCGAAATCTCGAGATTGTTAGGAAAGTAATTAGAGGAGAACTTGTCGTGGATATCGATTTATTCTTTACGAACGCTGAGAGACGACTGGCCCGTCCGCAGACGGCAAGCCGTGAATTTTGACAAACAAGTATGAAGAGGGGGTTGACAAACAGTTTTGATAGATTTATAATATCTCATGTACAGATAAAGAGAGAGTGTACAAAGAAATGTAGAGGACACATGACTCCTTTGTATTACGAACGCGAAGTCGGCGCGAAAACAACAAAAAGGTGCGCAAATAAGAACGCGGAGAACAGTATCCATAAAATTTAACTCGATAACATTTACAGACAATATTTGCTTGACGTTCGAATTTACCGTTCGTGACTTTACTAAATTTTAGAAGCGAATATTACTAAACATGACGATACAACGTGATCTTAAACTGGATATAATTTTATTACATTATTGTGTCGAAACAATTACAATTAGTCATTATTTGCATATCTTTCTTTTTTATCAAAATATAAAGATCACTTTTTTGATACTTCAAATGGGATGCCAAACATTCTTTTCCATTTCCATAGTTTGCACAAATACATACATTTATATAAGAGAAATTGAACGTAACTCAAACAATACCAAATCCAAAATTGGTGCATAAATATCTTTAAGATATCTTTAAAATGTCTTTTGGATATCATATAATAAGATTTCTTATATACGAGGTGATATATATATATATATATATAGGGTGTCCCGGAATACCCTTAATAACGTTCGTGTGATAGAACGCATCGAGACAAACAAAAAAGTCTTATACCATTTAGCGATATCTTTAATAAAATTTTCTCTTTTATTCGCTTGACTTTATCTCTCTTACTCGCTCTTATTCGCTCGACTTTAATATTAAATATATATATATATACAGGGTGATTCAAAACAACCGTTTGTCCTTAAAATGTCGTATTCCTGACTCAATTCTAAGACGATTTTTCCTTTGCCAAAATTTTATCCGAAGCTTAGTTTTTGAAATATAAAAAGAAATAGTTAGCGAATTACAGCACGAGTACGGGCGGTAATCAGGAGCGGCGCACCACATTATCCGACGCGGGCGATTACGTGGGCGCTCGAAGCGATCAGCTGTTTGTTACATGCGGCGTTTTGTGTGTGTGTGTGTGCGTGTGTGTGTACGCGTATACACACACACACACTCTCTCTCTCTCTCTCACTGATTCTTACCTTGTAGAGATGTTTGATGTCCTTTGACGAATAATTGTTGCCTGACTGGATACAATCCGATATTGACACACTGTGACACACTGCATAATGAAATCATTTTTTTGTAATAAATTCTATTGACACTTTGACTCACGCACTTGATTAAAAATTATTGTAATAAATAACTGATTACAAATTACAACACATAATCACAATCTGAGAGAATTTTCTCTTAGAATTTGCCCTGAAAATTGTGGTAATCGTAGGATAATATTGTATGGAAAAAATTTTATTAGAATTCCTCTAATTAATATTTATCACATTCAAAATAATATCTATCACAATAAAATATGAAATATGTGTGATTAATTTTACTAAACTGTATAGTAAAATTAATCAAACATATTTTATATTTTCTTGTGATACATATTATTATTTTTAATATGATAAATAGTAGAGAAATTCTAACAAAATTCTTTCCACATCATAATGTCCTACGATTACCATAATTTTCTAGGTAAATTCTAAGAGAAAATTCTCTTAGATTGTGATTATGATTGTCGTGTCCTTGCCGTGTAAACTATTGCCGTCCGCATTGAGTAACGTGTGCTGTGCGCGCCGCGCGTTTTTACAAGTAATTTTTAATAATTAATCAAAACACTGAGAGAATTTTCTCTTAGAATTTACCCTAAAAGTTATGGTAATTGTAAGAGAATATGGTATGGAAAGAATTTTATTAGAATTTCTCTGATTAATAATTATCACATTCAAAATAATAATATTTATCACAATAAAATATAAAATATATTTCATTAATTTTACTTTACGGTTTAGTAAAATTAATAAAACATGTTTCATATTTTATTGTGATAGATATTATTATTTTGAATGTGATAAATATTAATTAGAGGAATTCTAATAAAATTTTTTCCATACAATATTATCCTACGATTACCACAATTTTCAGGGCAAATTCTAAGAGAAAATTCTCTCAGATTGTGATTATGTGTTGTAATTTGTAATCAGTTATTTATTACAATAATTTTTAATCAAGTGCGTGAGTCAAAGTGTCAATAGAATTTATTACAAAAAAATGATTTCATTATGCAGTGTGTCACAATGTGTCAATATCGGATTGTATCCAGTCAGGCAACAATTATTCGTCAAAGGACATCAAACATCTCTACAAGGTAAGAATCAGTGAGAGAGAGAGAGAGAGAGTGTGTGTGTGTGTATACGCGTACACACACACGCACACACACACACACAAAACGCCGCATGTAACAAACAGCTGATCGCTTCGAGCGCCCACGTAATCGCCCGCGTCGGATAATGTGGTGCGCCGCTCCTGATTACCGCCCGTACTCGTGCTGTAATTCGCTAACTATTTCTTTTTATATTTCAAAAACTAAGCTTCGGATAAAATTTTGGCAAAGGAAAAATCGTCTTAGAATTGAGTCAGGAATACGACATTTTAAGGACAAACGATTGTTTTGAATCACCCTGTATATATGGATAGACAGAGGCTGTGTTCGCTTTGGACGCTTTCAGTGTTATAACGTTGCACCTCGAATATCAAACGAAGACAAAAGATGCTTATAGCTCTGAAAGCGTCAAAGCAAACGCAATCGGAAAAACACATCAATAAAAGAGAAATGTCAAGTAGATGATTTAGTGCGCTAAGTTCTTTGTCGTCTTTGGACGGGTGCGAATGTATTTTGACATGCTTTTGCGCGAATATATCTTTGGGCTACGCAGTAAACGTTGAACCGATAAACCCTTATATATATATATTCTCGGCTCTTGTTTCCATCCTGTAGATCATAATTGGGCAAATTTGATAGATTCTGGTTTTGCACTTAATGTATTTAAGTGCTTATTCTTTCAGACGACCTACTTCAGGTTATGATATTGTGACTGTCATATTTATCTGCTGCTGAACCTCATTTTTGAGAATCCCATAACTTAATATTTTTACGCCCAAATAGTTGAAGAATATCACTTATTCGATTGAAATATTATCGATTGTTAATTTGCAACGCAGGAGTTTCCTTATACAATACTATCTCAGATAACCAAGTATGCTCCAAGCAACGTATAAAAATAAGATGCTAGCAATCAATGTTGGTTCTTTGCTAGGAATATGAATCAATAAATATTTGAGTAGCTAGCATAACGTTAACATTTTGTCGTATGTCAAATGCTCAGCTAAAAAAGAAACATATCAAATAAGCATACTGTTAACAAGAAGTTAGCATATAATATTGTAAGCTAGGAGTGGTAAAAGAGGTAATTAACTAAAATTTAGTTTTTTTTTATATAACATGAAAGATTTATTTAAACAATACGAAAAGCAAAGAAAAATAATATAAACTAAACTCGTGTAAAGTATAATTATAAAAATGCTGAATCACTCTCTCACAACTATCTAATTAACCACGTTACTAGGCTTCCGATCAGTCCTTCGATCTTTCACCTCTGCTAGTCTCTACTCGACTCTCTCTCGATACATTCGTTACTTTTCTCTTATACGCTCTCTTTTTCAAAATTTTGCTTGTCATCCTTATCACAGCGCTCCTATCGATTTCCGTGAATTCTTCTTAAAATACACTCAAATCTTTTGCTGAACCGATATAGTTACCGCTGTTTTATCGACTTATACGCTATACATCTTGCAGAAATATTTTGCGCTTATAATATTTTCAATTTGCTAACAGATATAAATATGTTGCTATCTATGTCAGCATTAATTGTCAACATCTATTTAATTCTAATGTCAGCATAATGTTTAAAACGTGCAAATTTTTAATTTCCAACATCGAATATTAGCATACATCAGCACAATGAACAACATAGATGCGTAGTAAGATGCTAACATCTTTATTGTTAGCGACATGAAAACAATCTGTGTTCACACTGGTTATCTGGGATAATCATATATACATCATTTTTGTTGTGGAGATTTGTTATATTTTTTCTGCAAGTTTGAAAATGTGGAAGTGTCATTGCGTGTTTTTTTATTCGGCTAATAGTAAGTATTGCGTTTGCATAGCAGAGAATACTTAGGTAGTAGGTGTTGGAATCTATATCCAAAGCTCTATGTTTTAGTGGCATTTACTACTTTGTCCATAATGATGTTAAAGAGCAGCGGACTAATAAGGTTCTCTTTAATTAATCCCTGTATTTGTTTTTATTTCTTTTGTTAATTAAACAGAGCTTATACTCTTTTTTTATTATAAAGGAGAAGGGGAGAATTAGAATAAAAAAGGGGGAAATTTTTAATAAAAACAAATTTCTTTTAATTTACAAGCAACAAATGTATTCAAATCAAAATACTCTAATAAATTCCCAATTATTAATGACAGTCACTAGTATTTAAATAGGAGTTTTGGAAATAATCGACCAAACTAGCATGTAATAATCGTTTTTATTAAGTTTCACGACGTTTCGACCATATGGTTGTGGTCCTTCTCAAGTGAGAAATAAATTAGTAAAATTTAGCTCATCATACAGCAATGCATAATATTAATTTTAATTATGAACAGTTAATTTATTGACCAAAACTGGCTTATTTTATTACGTGAAAAAATACAACGTTTCGATCACTGCTTGTGATCCTTTTCAAGTAAACTGAAAAATACATTGTTAAATTGGATTAAAGGAAAACAAACAAAACTTAATTATAAAATCATAAATTCAAACTTACATCAACGCAGGCGAATTGATGGTAATCGCTCACGTCTCACATTATTCTGTGAAGCGTCTATATTCAAACGATGTTCGGTTTATAATGACATATCAATAAAAAGGCAAAAGACAAAAAGACAAAAAGTCAAGCGAAAAAACAATAACAAACAAACGCAAGAGAAACAACTTACAATACAAGCAAGCTATCATATACAGAATTTAAGCGCTTTGTGTCTTTTTGTAAATTAATCGTATTTTTCGTTTTCTTAATATAAAACATTTCCGCCACCTCTCTCTTACGCAATTGTTTTTCTTTATGCAAAATAACAGGATTCTTCCAGTAAAAATCATGGTATTCCACAAGACGATGATCCGTGATAACAGAATAGTTATCTTGAAAACCATTAATATTTCGTTTGTGCTTCCTTATTCTAACATGTAAATGGCGTTTCGTTTGTCCGATATAAGACGCATCACAATCTCTACAGTTAATTTGATAAACCAATTCTGTGTGTTTATCATAATTTAGTTTATCTTTTCCAGTTCCGATAATGCAATTCAGTTTTTTCGGTATAGTGAAGAGTACTTGGAGACCCAATTTTTTCAAAATAAGACGTATGTTGTTACTAACTTTATTAACAAATGAAATCAAAACAAAACTCTCCTCCTTGTATCTATGCTGTATCTCCCTAGTTCTATCTATGTTACCATAGGTGATTCCTTTTAACCGTTTATTAATGTGATATTTAATTAAGTCAAGAAAATAACAATTATTTAATAAAACCTCTTCGACAATTTTAAGATTAGAATCGTGAAATCGTTGATCAGATAGCAACAAAGCCTGATCAATTAAATTAATGATATTATTAATTTTATATTGGAGCGGGTGGTTCGAAAAGTCAAAAATTAAAAGTTAGAATCTGACGATCCTTGGTTGGGATATATGTTGTGGCTGTCTCACAATTTCAATTTTACTTTTAATTTTTGACTTGTATATTTCTTAATTAAAATTAATATTGTGCATTGCTGTATGAT